AAAGTTGTTTAAAATGAATTTGAAAATCTACCTCAATTATCGATAAACTTTTCGATAAACTAAGTTATCGATAACGTCCTCGATAAGGTTCAGTTATTTTGTCTAAAATTGTTTCTCACACTACTTTCAGGCAAATATGATATTATTCCATGTTTAAACTTTCTTCAGCCTTTATTCTTCATCTTATATTATTATTTAAAGCAAAAATATTCCCTGACTCAGATAGGATTCAAGTCATAAATCTTTTCACTTAGTTTTTGAAGAATCCTCAAGATAAATCACTTTGTTTTATATTACACTCTTCGTCGATCAATAACCTTTTCAGTAAACACTTTGATTGATATTAACTTCAATAAATAAGTCTTGTTTTTGAATTCTCACTTTCTAATTAGTCGATAACCTTATCGACAAGGCTATTTATCGATAGGTTCTTTGAAGAAATAATTCTATGATTTTCTATTCTTTGATTTGTGAATTTCAATTCTTAAGACAAAATAAAAGGCTGATTATTTCTTCATTTAATTGTCTGTATTTTTTGATAAATCAACTTATTACATTTATTACAGAGATATTTCTACAGGTTATGAGGCTCAACAGAAAATTATTGTAAGAAACACATTAAATGCAAATCAACTATTGCAACTACCAACCTACTCAAATGCTACTTCAATGGATACAAGCCCCTGTGTCTAACGAATAACTAAGATTCTTAAAGTATAAAACACGAGAGCATTGAATGAAGCAATTAACAAACTTGAACTACCATCTGTTGTATTAATTCTTTGCATTCAATACTCTTTTTTTAAGTCAAAACTTCAGTGTTTATCTTATATACACTCTTGAAGAGAGTCTGTAAACATCTTTTTACACTCAATTAGCGAGTGACTCAAGAGTGTGGGACTCTTGAGAGGATTGTATCCTTACGGGAAGTAAGGAAGAGTGATTAAGAGAGCTCAATTACTGTACTATGGCGCTAAGAGCCCGTCGAATCTTGGAGTTTAGTGAAGAGACTCAGAGGTGTTTTGGGAACTGGACATAGGTCAAGTAGTTGAGATCAAACTAGTATAAAGTCTTGCGTGTTTTTGTCTCTAACTCTCCTTTGTTGAAATTTCTCAAACCTTGTCTATTCTTCTTGACTTAGCTATTTAAATTTGAGAGCAATTTTTTACCATCCAATTCACCCCACTCTTGGGCGAAATTGCTACACTAACGCACAAGTGATAAAAGGTCCTGACAAGGACTGGTGACCAGAGTGACAATAACAACCAGAGAGCATAGCAGCAACAGTGAGAGCGGTGTTGAAGGCAAGTGACTACTGATCACATGAAGTTACGAAGGTGAAATTGAATGGAGAAGTGGAAAACGCAAACCACAAACCGCAAATGGCAAACCTAGACTTTTTCTTTCATTTTTCCCTTTTAAATTAACAAGGGTAAAATGGCAAAAGAATAATTAGAATCTCCCTCCCTCAAGTCCCATGAGACATGAGATTAATTTAAAGATCTAATGGGACCTGAGAATAATAATTTCTCTTACGTGAGATCTGAGTGAATTTTCTTGTCAATGTAAGCCGCGATAGTTGTCATTGTAGGCCACAATGGTTGTTAATATTGCTTCTTCACTTGTCAATTTATCTACTAATATAAGTTTAGAAAAATGTGATTTCAAGTTACATAATAACAAGTAATATTGACATATCTTGTAAACTAATACTTTTTTATGTTAATATAATATACTATCGTTATTAAAAGTCAATTATCATTCATATGAAATTATAAAATTAATTTTATCGTTTACTAACTCTTCACTTGTCAATGGTGACAGCGTAAATTGTCATTGGATGCATAGTCCAATACTTGTTCAACACCATCGTTTTATTCACCTTTAATTACCACCTATTTTACCATCATATTTCACCTACTTTTTTCTTCTTTATTCTTTTCTGATTCCCCTTCACATATTTAATAAATATTGCAAAAGCCAAGCTTGGGAACATGAACCATGAAACAACCTCCCTAAATAAACAGATAAACTTAACTTTTTCATAGTAACTTTAAGAAATAACATTTTATAACCAAACTATGCTAAATACAAACTCAAATTATATCACAATCATCTACACTAACTAATTATATAATATTGTTATCAGTGATAGAAAAGAACAGCACCCAATCATACATCCTATCACGGATAAAAAAAATTTTCTTAACTCATTCAAATACAAACTATATAAGAAAGGATTAATCTTATCTAATATAGTTATAATACAACATATAATATAGCTCATAAATCAAAATGTTAAGAATTAAATCTTAATTCATACTTTATAATAAATTCATAAGCAAATCACATGCGAATATGCGATCCTAGGCCTCTGGCCACCTATCAGCACACATACCACAATAGTACACTCAAAGGACATAAAAATAATAATACATGAATCAATTAGAAACAATTTATCCTAAGGTGGCAATATCCAGGATACAACATAGCTCATAAACCGAGGAGACGCTACAAGTTGCTAAGGTAGCTTTACTCCTCCTAAGCCTTCCCTGACGTCCCTCCTTTAAAGCTTTCACCTGAAAAATGTTAAACAATAGGGATGAGACAACGTCTCAGTAACTAAATCCCTACCCATCACACACACTAGCATGGGCTAGCGAGGTGTCAGGTGGGATACACAGAGTTAATAATAATTGATAAACATTTATTTAACATTTAAACTCACAATAATCATATAAGACAAATATTTCCACCACTCTCATGCAATTTATGCATTTCAAAAGAGATAACGCACTTGTCATTTATTTAAAAGATATAAATATCAATGAATATTTCATGTCATATGCAATTCCTGAACCCAAATCCATCCTTATATCCTCCTTATTTCCGCTGACTGGACCCATGGGCTAAGTTCTTTCCATTTGACTGGCAACTCTGACAAGCTCACCACACGAATGATGTGGACCGGCCAAAGACCACAGAGCACTCGGTGGACCATGGGTCCCCCCTCGAAGAACTAGTGGGGTGTCGCAGTCCCTCGAAGAACTAGTGGGACAATAATAGTAGCCAACTATAAAGCTCCGTATGGAGGCTAATATCACGTGGCAAGTATATGAATCTCAATAACTCCAATTATCTCCTTTCCCCATCCAAAATAGATGCACAGGGTTCAAAATGACACATTTATATGCATAATCAACAGAATTTCATAACAACACATCATAATCATGATCACCAATTTCTTACAATACAAAACATGTCAATCCTTTTTAAAATAGCATCCCATAAGACAGTTCATACAAAACGTAATATACTTTTATAGAATTAGTTGTAAAGCTGCTCACCAACTTCATACTAGAGCATGCAACAGATAGAAATTTAGTTACCTGGTCTCCTAGCTAACAGTCAACTACAACCAAAGTCCAACCTCGAAAATGCCACAATAGAGTTTATATCTACAAACAAAATAAAAATATTATCTCTATAGTATTAGAGTAGACTACTCACAAAATTCTAGCTTCTTACTCCTCCTCTATAAGCTTTAATTTTTCTCAGAACTCTAGCCTAAAAGACATTTCTCTAAGGTTTGGAATGAGAACATATATATATATGATTTAGACTCGATTCCTAAATTTTTCTTACTTAAATATCCTTTAATTATTAAATTATATTATTAGAATCATCAAATTCATAATGTAAATAGACAAACTATAAATTTATAACTTATATTCCATCTTCGAAAGACTTAGACAAATAGACTTAGTACGAACCAGGTTATTCTCACTACAGAAGTTAAACCCATAATCTAACCGTTGAATTTAATTTCCTATCTATCATGATACTATCCTCCAAATTATAGCTCAATCTAACGATGAATGAACGTTTAATTGCTAATTTACTATTCAGGACTCTATCTGCTAAATTCAAAAGATATAAGTTAAAAACGTACCTAATAACTTGTAACTCGGAGATCAAAATGATGATCCAACCGTTGAAATTAACGATTTGGATGTCCCAAATGGGCTGACCAAATTTCAGTCCGATCCAACGGTTAATAAAATCAAAACTAGCACTTTTTTGAGACTACCTCAGATATGTACGAAAATTATTTACTCACTTCAAGCTCCACTCATTATCTCCTATATATAGGCTCCTCAAACTCCTTCACTCTAAAGATTAGTCGATGTGGGACTTCTTAACATTGCTATTTTATCCACTTCCTATCATTTAATTAATGTGGGACTTCTTAACATCGCTATTTTATTCATTTTCTTATACACACACATAAAATCAGAATTATTTTAATTACATATATGTATATTTAACCTCTACCTGTTCTATAAAAATTTGTTTAAATATTAGATATATAAAAACTAGGATGTTACAAACCAACGCGTACTTGATTTTATGCTAATATCTGGTTTCTGAGACTTGCTAAAGTATTTGTTCAAGCTTCTCTTTCATCCTCGCTACATCAATACGTCTTATTACTGTTTGAGGCATTTGAGTGTATCAATGTCGAGTATTGGCCTAAATTAATCCGAGTATTTTTGGGATGATAATTAGTAGTTACTCTATAATGTAAACTTACATCTGCAATTGACTTCTAAAAAAGAAAAAAATAACAGTTTCAAAGTTTAACCTTGGGTTAAATCCTAAAAGTTCATATAATCTATCAAACAGTAAAGGCCGGAAACTAAAACAGATTATCTTAGTGAATCTCTTATAATATTGACAACAACAACAAGCCTTACTCCATTAGGTGGGGTCAGCTGAATCTCTTATAATATTGACCGTTTAAAAAAAATACAGTTTGGAAAGGAAGCCTGAAGTAAAGCGCATGAGATTTGCCATTACATGCAGGGAGGGGAGGGCCAAATGTCCTCCGAGCCCTTTCTTTCTTTCCCCTTTTTTCTCCCGCAAGTGCTGGTGCAATTGTAAATTAATTACTCTTCTTGGAGAGAGAGGCTTCTAGAACAAGAGGATACAAAGCGAAATCCACCTATTAAGACTCATGCCCCATTTCCCCTCCATCCAAAATACAGACTAATCCCATATGCCTAATTGAGAAATTGTACACAATATACAAAAATAATCCACCGGAGTCGACAATAAGAAAAGGAATACTCTAACAAGGGCCATTAATGAGCACTTTGGGTAACCTCAGAGTCCATGACTTGCAAGATCTAAACAAAATACAAATTCAAGACACAGAAAAAGACCTCACAGCGACTGCATTGCCATCATAGAAACTGCATCAGGCTCGCGACCATGAACCCTAAACCGGTATATACAAGTGTGTGAAGGACTTCCATGGTTCGATGTGAAGTCAAGCCTCACTGTGTCAACAACTCCGGTACTGGATGAATCTGACACATCAAAAGTCTGGGCATTGCTCTTTTCGAGGTTGTATGTAAATTCAGATAATAGAAACATTTTCTCAGTCTCTATAACAGATTCAGCATTCTGCCCTTGCAGCCAACCAGAGACCCTGCAGTCCTTGGGAGCACTTGATCTATCATATGCAACAGTCTGGCAAAACGCAAAACATTAGCATAAAAGATAATAATGGAAAATATGATGCATAACCAAACATATGGCAAAAACCAACATGGATCAGGGACATCAGATACTATAAAAACTCCCCCCCCCCCCAAAAAAAAAAAAAAAAAAACATAAGACCCATTTTATAGTGTAAATTGCACTACAAAATGGGTCTTATATTTAGAACCGGAGGAATATTACAGAAAACAAAGTGGCTAGCACTGCCAAGACTTAGCAAGGTAAGGAAGAATACTGTGATCCCTTTAAACTTAGAATGGAGTTCACTCGCACATCAACCCTATGAGAGGGGATCCCCAACCAAAACCTGACCACCTGAAAAGTCCTTGAGCTACTACCATTGTCAGTTTGTCATGCTGGAAGTAAATGGGGAAAAAAGTCGAGGAAGGATGGAAGCACACTAGTTAGATAGAAAAGGAAAGATAATTATGAGAAACTGGCGATACCAAGACAGTGCCAGTTATCCCCTTACCACAGGTCCTTCAAGCAATGTGTAAAAGTAATCATTATGGAAAGAAACATGTCACCACCATAAACTTGCTTATAAGTAACCAACAAATACTAAGAGGCCGTGTGGTTAATCTAGGGAAAAAGCATTCCCTCTTTTGCCAAAAGGACTTTTTAAACATGGGTAACTTTTGGATTTGAAATGGACTGTTAGAAAGCTGAATGTTTAAACCAAACATACACGAAGTGGTCACTTACTTCTCACAAAAATAAATGCCGTGCTTTCCATTTTTCGTTCGTTTCTTTACTTTTCATTGTCAAGATGATTTATTGAAGAGGGGTACAAAGCCAAATGATTTGGCTAGTTATAATTTTCTATGGGACCTACTGAAAGCATGTTTTGCACCAAAACAACTTATTTAACTGTTAGAAGAGCACACAAGTAGAATAGCTATTTGACCGCTGGTAAAACTTCCTTAGCCAAAATTGATCTGTCTCCAAACTTATCAAAATCACAGATAAATTGCAAATCACAAGTTAAATAGTCTTTTTCACGAACAAGAAAGTCCAATTTTTTTGTACGGTGAATCAAAGTAGCTTTGACTTGTTGGATTCAATGAAATATAAAGATAGTTTAAAATGCATGTTAAACATAATAAGGCATTATGTAGAAGTTATATAATTCATCGTTACCCACAAGAATAAACTCCTACTCAAAATGTTGAGATGGAACTCATAATCCCAAAATAACTTTTGAAGCCTACCCATTTACTACCCGGAGGAATAAATTTATTTTGCATACTCTTTCATTCCTTCACTTCTTTAATAATTAAACTGAAGCTTTGAAACCAAGAGTGCAAAATTGTTGGATGGTCATAGTAATATCAAATATAGAAAGATGACAAGGTATGGGATTTCAAGAGTGAAAATCCCGGGCTTCAGATTTGATCAACAAATACAGAAGGTAGGCTGGCTTTCTACAAACTCAGAATGAGGTTTTTGGGAGCTCCAAACTATAAAAAGAATTTTTTGCTACTCATTACCCAGACTGGGCCTGTTAGACCTAACACTAAAGAGTGAGTACCAAAAGTGCCGGAAATGGCACGATTACAGCAATTCAAGCTCTAATTGATTATAACTATTAGAGTTCCGAATTTCACTGAAATGAGGAAAATTGTAAACCACACAATTCCAACAACTGTAAACTAGAGTTGAACTATGTACCCTGGCCGCACACAACACAAAGATACCAACCAATTCAAACCATAAAGTAAAGGGAGGAGACAAAACAAAACATATGAATGCAAATCATGCGTTCCTTGGGTATCAAGTGAATCACACAAAAAGTCCATAAACAATAAGCTCAAATAGCTAATGGATAGTCATCCTTTTATCTTTAAAACTTCCCAGAATGACCATGAAAAGGTTGGGTCAAAATGAAAACACTTCGATAGATGGAAGAAGTTCAGAAAATTAATGATTCTAGGGTTGACTGACAGTGACTAGTACAACTAAAAACTAAACAAACCCATCCATGAGAGACTGCAAACACTAAATTAGGTCTAATGGTCAACTGCCAACAAGAATGCAAGCATTCAACAGATCAATTAATTCAACTAGCCAAGCCATCCAGTCCTTCATAGAAAAAATACTTTATAGAAGAAAACCACAAAACCCAATCCGAGTTACTGTATCAGCAAGGAAATTTATATAATTCAAGGGATTAACATGAAACCAAAATACACAACAGATCAAATGGCGCAATCCAGACCCTTCCCCTTCCCTGAACCCCAAACACACGTACAGATGAGCAGAAAGAAAATAAGCCATACAGATGAGCAGAATGAAAATAAGCCCTCCTCATTGAAGTTTATCTCTATCAATCCGTTTCATCAGGCATGTCATATATAAAGCATCTGTGCAAGTCAATATTCAAGCAATAATAAAGCAGTGAAAATTATACAGGAAAGCATGTCTTGGGTGGTAGTATGTACATTCACCTATGAAATTTGTCACTGCAGTTTCCAAAGACACCAATAATTCATCAAAATTGCACATGCTAGAAAAAATCCCTTCATTTAAAGGCAGAGTATTTAGCACCACAAGAATACGAAAAGCACATTGTATCCTCTACAAGCTAGAAGCACATCACACTTATCAATAAACTTACTTTGGCACAACTAGAGAAGAGGAGTTTGCATATATGTGGACCAAGTATCGGCACAAGTATAATCAACACAAATGAATAGAACATATGACTTACATTCTTATTTTGACACTAAAAAGCATAACCATATCGAAATAGGCATGTGGATAAAGACATCACCTTTGCAACATGCTCCAATGTGACAGCCTCTGGAATGATAGCTGTGCGCAACTTGATCTGCACAAACCCAGTGCTCCCTTTCAAGGCAAAACACTGACCTGGCTCTCCAAAGCTTGGTTTTAACATCTTATCAGCATTGGTATGAACACCATTTTTTGCGGATAGTAAAAACCAATTAGTTCCCCTTCCCACTATAAATGGTTCGGAGTGCTTGACAACCATGGCTCCACCACTAGCGAGTGCATAGTCAACCCTACCAAGCCCATCAGCAGCATGCTTCTCAATTTCCTTCTCAATTATCTCTCTTGCGTACGTTCTTATCTCATCCAAGCTTGCCTCTCCAAGATCAGCGCTCTTTGTTTTCTTCAGCTCATCATAAATCTTCTGAAACTCTTCCTTGGATAACCACTCCACTGACTTCAAATCACCCAACGACTTCTCAAGTCCTTCACTCTTGGCCTCCAACTTCTTCAACTCGCTCTCCCAAATGGCTCCCTGATCATCAATTTTCTTGCTCATTTCCTTCTTCAAACCCCCTATCTCATTCTCAATCTTCCTGTCCACAACTTCAACTTGCACCTGGATCATCTTTGCCGTTGTCTTCAACAGTGATTCCACATCCGCAATTCGACCCTCAAATTCTACCAGTCCTGGTTGGGCCCCCACCACACTTTCACCAGATTTCATAGCCAGTCTCCGAATCAATTGAACCAGCCCCAAAAGCACAACAAGAAGCACGAAATTCTTGGCAAAAATACTCAAAACTGTGAGCCACCGAGGCTTATCAGGCTTCGAAAGGACCTTACGAGTTCGCCGTTGCACAGTAGTCGAATTTCCAACAGCTTTCTTGGCTTGCACGAAATCCTTAGAAGATCTGTCCAGAACTGCCTCGCCTCGAATAGAATGGTGACTCAAATCTCTCCCATTTCCTGCGGATGTCACTTTCTCATCTCCGCCTGCGCCGGGATTGGCGGTAACCGGAGAAACACCAACATCATTGGCCAGCATCTCAATGTTTGTAGCCTTCCTTTCGGTAGAGACAACCGGTCTCCGACGCGCAGCCGGGTTCGCCGCTGTAATCGACACCGTCGAAGCCGACATTGGGGTTACCAAGCACTGCTTCAAAATAAAACTTGGCCTGCAAGATCAAAACCCTATTATGCTGGGCAAGACCCAAAAAAAAAAAAATCAAGGAGTACGAGGAGGAGAAAAACCAAGACCCACGATGTAACACAAGTATCTGGACAGAGACAGTGCGATCTGAAGAAGGTACAAGAAGATAGAACTGGAGGGAGCGTACGTGCGTTTTCCTCTTAAAAATTTGATTCGAAGAGAGCATGAAGTGAAATTTGAACAAAGCGTACGGACAAGCAACTTTTGAGCGCGATATTCTATGAGCTCTGGCCCATCAAGAGTCAGCCTGTCCGGTTTGGGCCAACACTTCCGCCCCTTTTTGTTCTTTTTTTTTTTCCCCCCAAAAAAGGTCGTAGGTCAAGCTAATTAGTCCTCCAGTGTCTAATCACTTTCTCTACATGTGTTAGTTTTCATTCAACCGTCCATCGTTAAATCACTGTGCTTTTTCTCTCTCTCATAATTCTATTGTCTTTAAACGATCCAACCTGAGACTTCTCATCTTCACCCTCGTCATCTTCACTACTCAATATATCAGAAATAAACAACAATCTTCCCTTGATTTGATTCACTCCTATTACGCTCCTTCAATTTCCCTGCAGGACTAGCCAAAATCTCTGTATCGTTCCTTTACTGGTATTCCAATGGAAACACATTCATTCTCTGTGTTCATGAAGCTTACTGGAATTGAGATTTCTCTCTTTGGTTCGGTAAATTACCAGAAGAAGAAGATGAAGATGTGCTGGATATAACAATATTGAATCTGCATATAGCAATGAAAGAAGACAAGGTGCTTTGTACCTTCGACTAATCCATCTCCTTTCTTTTACTCATGGACTGAACTGTCGATATTAGCGAAAGAAGATGAGACCTGAATAGCTGACTCATTGTCGTTTAAGACAATACGAACTGTAGATTTCTTGAGAACAATCGCCCGTGAAGAACAATATCAGCAAGCGACCATGGATCATATGGGGTGTCTAGAAAAGAGCCGAGGATCAATCATAAGCCGTTAAAAAAGGGGGGTGGGGAACTCTTTTCTAACACTAACGGCAGTACGACGGTGATTTTGGAATTAAATAAAAACTAATATAGGTAGCAGATGTTATGAATATAATATCTTTATGGATATCCATATATCTACCATTATCTCCCTTATCTCCCAGTATCTTCAATATCGCCTATTATCCTCATTATCTACAATTATCTCTTATTATTATATTATCTATAGATTCTATCAAATATGTAAAGTTGTGCCTATAAATAGAGGCCTCGTGTAAGATATTGAATACTCTTGAATAGAATGAGAATACTCTCTCTTATTGAGCGTGAAACATCCTTCTTTTAACCCCTTAGAGTACGTATTTAAAAGCATTATGATTCAAGCGATTCACGAAAGAAGCCCAGTGATTGAAATTTGCAATTTGTTCTCAGGTTGCTATTCACTATTTAAATTTCAGATTACAGGTCTAATTTCAAAAATTCATAACTAATTCTTTCCTTGCATATCATAATCAATTATACATGCCATCATTATGATTTAACATCACATAACATTAATAGCATATTTCACTACAAGAAAATGTTGAAGTAGCAGCGGAACATTTCTAGCGGTTCAACAAAACCGCTAGAAATTCCAAATATTTCTAGCGGTTTCTATAAAAAGCGCTGCAAAATACAGACGGTTTGACCATTGCCCGCACATTTCTAGCGGTTACCACCTAACCGCTAGAAAATTAGAGCTAGAAAATTCCCCGGGCTTTGGCGGGAACTTGGCGCCAAAGTTGTAGCGTTTACTTTCTAGCGGTTCAGGCCAATAAACCGCTAGACACCGAAAAATTCTAGCGGTTGATGCATGAACCGGTAGAAATATTTTTCATTCCCCGAGGAGTTTACAAATTTCTAGCGGTTCGGTCCAGAACCGCCAGAATTTCTAGCGGTTCTGGACCGAACCGCCAGAATTTCTAGCGGTTTGGACCGAACCGCAGAATTCTAGCGGTTCGGACCGAACCGCCAGCCAATTCCCGAGGCCATGTGACCGTTGGGATTCCTAGCGGTTCGACCCAAAACCGCTAGAAATTTCTAGCGGTTGGACCGAACGCTAGGAATTCTCGGTCTATATATACCCCCCACACTCTCACTTCTTCAATCGTTCTGGAAGCGAAGCTCTGCTGAATTTTCTCCACAAACATATTCGAGTTCTGATTCAGTTGCAGATCCTTATTTTCAGGTAAAAATAGTAATTTATTGATAAATACTTTTTATTTTATGTTTTATTTTATTTATTTTATTATGTTGTAGCTTATAAATAATTTTTCTTTTATTTCATTTATAAATAATTACTTTTGTTGTTATTAGGATGACTCGTCGACACGGGAAAGACCCAGTTGATCCTGAGAGAGCTGGACCCAGTGAGGTTCATCATGATGCTGGTGAGCCATTCCCCAGCATTCATGACTACGATCTGAGCGAGGAGGATATCCTCAGTTTTATGGAGCAGGATGGTGTTGAGCGGACTGAGGAGGCTCATTTTTACTGGGGATGAGCAACCCCATGCTGATGCTGATGCTGCTGACGAGGAGGAGGAGGAGCAGGATCAGGGGAATGAGTATCCCCAGGCTGCGCAGCGTCCTGCTCCGAGACGTCAGGCTGGTTATGAGGTGGAATTTGTCGGTAAGTATTTATTTAACTTTTTAAAGTTTTGATCAGTATTTAATTTATATAGAAATTGTATTAATTTATTGATATATAATTTATTTCTTAATTAAATTTTGCAGACACTGAGGGGAACAGATCCTATCGGAGGCTGACAGCCAGAGAGTTGTCTATGATGACGAGCGGACGAGTGGTGTGCCGCTCAATGAGTTGGGCCAACCGACGAGAAGAAAGGTGGCCAGTTGTACAACAAGTACGTGCGCCTCCTTAGTCAGCAGTGGACGCTGTTCCCCATCTACGTGCAGGACTGGAAGAAGATCACCTCAGACAAGAAGCAGCAGGCTGGGAAATGATGAAGGTAATATAAAATTGTTATTTATAATTTTTTTTTAATTTAAATAATGATTATATATTTTGTTTTCAAATAATTTAATTGTTTGATTATAATTTTTTATTTATTTAATTTGTTTGTATTTATAATATTTTTAAAAGTAGTTAAATGAATATATATATTTTTTATTTAAATTATTTAAAAGTAGTTAAATGAAAATAATTTGTTATTGATTTCATTAATTTATTACTTATAATAATTTTAAATTTAGTTGAGTAAAAATATTTTTTCATTTAAATTACTTAATGTTTAATTATTATTTGTTTTTGATTAATTAATTTTATTTATAATATTCTTAAATTAGTTAAAAACTAATTATTTGTTTTTTATTATTGAAATTGCTTAATTATTTGTTTAAAATTTGTTATTTAGTTAATTTATTATTTTAATCATAGAGTAAATTTATTCGGGGGAGGGGAGGAGTTGAGGGCTGACACGATCAAGAGGCTCGGGATGGCATGGAAGAACAGGAGGGCCGACCTGTGGAGGGAGAAGAAAGGTGACGGGACGAGGCCCTCCAGGAGATACTGGCAGATGTACCTGGTGGAGTCCCGGACCAAGACTGGTCCAGTTACGTCTATTTTAGAATGACGGCTGACCAGATGGTATGATAATATTGTATTAATTATAATTTCTTTATTTTTTATCCGACTTGACTTATTTAATTTAATTTTTTTACATTTTGCTTCAGGCTCTTTCTAGGAGAAATGCTGGGAGCGTCAGGCATCAGACGATACGTCATAGGGCTGGATCCAGGAGCTTGCGATCACTTATGACGAGATTGTGAGTACTTGAAATAAATTTATTAAATATGTATATGTATTTAATTTGTAACTAATTATTTCTTTGATTTCATTTACAGAGGGAAAAGACGCAGCAGGAGCGGGGATACACACCCACTTATGGCGAGATTGTGGCCGATGGTGTATAGACCCTGAGACGGGCGTGCGTCGGATGAGGTTGAGGAGATAGCGGTAAGTAATAAATTAAATATTAATATAATATCACAGTGTAGATATCATTATATTATAATAACTTCTTTATATTAATTTTGGTAGGCACGGATGACTCAGGTCGATTCGAGTTGCGTGAGTCTCAGGGGTCTGCCTTAGATCCCACCGCCTCACTTTTAGCGGGTCGTGGCTGGCCGCCGCACCCTGGTCGAGTTAGCGGGCTTGGACTTGGACCTACACCTGACTAGGTTGCCCCGCTCAAGTGGCGCTGGCCCTTCATATCTGCTGGGAGCTCTCATGCGAGTGCGAAGCGGG